CGCCCAAAACTCCTTAAACATCATATGAGAGCGCACCGTGACGCACAAAACTCCTGCCATCGCTATCAGCTACTATTGCCATCACCATCACCACCATCACCACCATCACCACCACCACCATCACCGCCATCACCACCATCACCACCACCACCAACACTATCACCGCCATCGCCACCATCACCACCATTACCACCACCGCCAGCATCACCACCATCACCACCACCATTATCACCACCACCACCAGCATCACCACCACTGCCAGCATCACCACCATCACCACCACTATCACCACCACCACGAGCAGCAACATCATCACCACCACGACCATCACCACCGTACATGGATACATACATGCATACATACATGAAAACATACATATTTTCTTTTGCACTCGCGCAACATGCTCACGCTTCGTCGCGGATCGCCGTTTCGTTTACTTATCATCTCTTTTTACGCGTCTTCTTATTTCGACGGGACACGGCATTCTGATAATATTATCTCACTTAGATTCATGCTCTCCGGTCTTTTAGTTAACTTATGAGAGGAAAGTCATCAACTGAAGGTATTGGAGGGAACTTCGCATCTCCATAACCCTGCAAGGAATGTTCGTTTTCTGACTCGCACTAGAGATAACAAGCAATAAGCAACACAAGAGTCCACAAGTATTCCAACACAACAAAGCGAAGAAGCCAAGTAATGTTACATTACTATTGTTATTAATATTTTTTTGAAATTACTACTGTTAACATTATTAGTACATTCACCTGAGCCTTAAAGATTATAAACCCTAACCCCTACTCCCTAAACCCTAATCCCTAACCCCTAAACCCTCAGCGGCTTTGCTTAGAGGGTGTGCCATTGCACCCTGCCGTAGATAGCGTTTCACTGTCACAACTTTGAGCCAATTTAACCCAAAATGAGTTTTTGTCTAAACGGGTTCAGAGTTTAGGAACTTAGGGTCCTAGGGTCTAGGGGCTTAGGGTTGAGGGATTAGGGTTTAGGGTTTAGAGATAAATGAGTTACATAAGACTCCTTCAAGGGGGCTTACATAGGGTTTACGCTTTAGGGATTTTGGGCCTAGGGTTTGGGGTTCGGGGTTCAAGGTTTCAGGGGTGCACATGAGACATGATCTGAACTATTTTAGGTTTAAAGTTATAGAGGGGATTGTAAAAAGGAGTAATGTACGGGCTATTAAGGGGGATACTAGGAAGGTTTAATTATGCTCAAATGGTTTAGGACCTAGGATGCTGTATGTAGAAGATCTGGTCTTGTTTCGCTGCTCATTGCCAGAGACAATTGTGCCCTAGTTTCTTGCTCTCAAGTGGCCTTAAATAGATAGAATCTGGCTTTGGGTATATTGTTATAGTAAGATCCCCATATACCCCATATTTTATCTACTTAAGGGGGACGATAACCCCTAAACCCTAAACCCTAAACCCCATATACCCCGAACCCTAAACCCCAAGCCCTAAACCCTAAACCCTAAACCTTAAACCCTCTACTGAAGGGGGACTATAGTCTTATGCTCTTCGCGCAATATTCCGAGGTTGGTTGATGCCGCGATGCGTTGCTGCGAAGAGGCTGGTCGCTTTAGCCTCCCTAGGCCTACACCCTAGCCCTAATTAGGGTTTAGGGTTTAGGGTCAATGTTAGGGATCCTTTTATATTTTTGGTGGTATGGGATTCCTTACATTTATGTAAAAAGGATCCTTTTTTCTTCCTGTGGTAATATGGGCTAAGTAAACCCTAACCCTAACTAGTAATTTCCATGTTTTCCATTATCCTGATATGGTCCCTATATCACCAGTTCTCAAAATCAAGGGCCCTTTTTGATTATTGAGTACAAAAAGGCACCTAATATTTAGGGGTACCAAAATGGGGCCCTATATTGAGAACTACCCATATAATTCCGATATAATCCCTCCCTCCAATTTTTGGGAATCCCTCAGAAAACACAGGGAACATATGAGCTATCGTCTAAACTAGCATCCCCCTTAATAAGCCCTTGAGTAGTCCCGGTTCTAATCCCCTATGCCCTAAACCCTAAATCCTAAACCTTAAACCCCAACCCTAAACCCTAAACCCTATATAACCCTTTAAGGGTTTAGACTACAGCCCATCTATCATGATTACAAGCGGATAAAGAGCTCACTGTCTGGGATCCTTTACTTGAAAACCCTTTCCCAAAGGTGTGGGGGCTTAGGGGTTAGGGTTTAGGGGTTTAGGGTTGATGGATGTTACCTCAATAGTGGAGAATCAAATGGAAAAGAAACTTTAAACTGAAATGGAAGCTGGGATTATGTAGGGCTGTTCAGAGATTTATTGTATGAGCTATTGTCAATATTAGGCTTCCCCACAGGACCATTAAGCGTGGACGTACCCCTATATAATCCAAGTGTCCGTTTCATTTCCCCATCTTCTTGTCCATACAATTTTCAGTACTACGGTAATCACTGTGATAGGTCCCTGTATATGGGAAATATTGACTGTAGCTCACATCATAGCCGGTTTTCAAATCCCAGGCATCCTAGTACCTGGAGTTTCATGGGATGGAGTAACTACTTCTAACTGGGTCACTTGTAAGAGTTTTAGGGATACATGCGGGTTAGGGCCCACGGGACTTCGGAAGTACTGATTATTGGGCTGGTAGCCCTACTTATCATCCGCCTATCCGGACTTACGTAGGTTACCCCAATCATAAGTAGGGTTGTAGGCCCAGTTGTAAATAGTTACGAAGTCCCAGGGACCTTCAAGTAGTTTTGCTCATACTCTGTTTGCACAGCCCTGTTCTGCTGAGGCGGCCCTGTTTCCCAGAGAGCCCAACACCCATAACTAAGGAATGTACCCTAAACGATACAAGGATCCCTAATATGATTTCGAAGATATTCTTGAATGAAATTCCAAACCCTCAAAAGATAGTGCTTTCCATGTTCTTTCCATGATTCCTGTATAACCCCCTATATTCCTTTAAGTACTGATTATTGGGCTGGTAACCCATACTTGGAGGGTCAGGGGGACTTAGTAAGTAGGTTCATAACCCCTATAACCCACATAATAAGCCCAATTATCCCCATTATCAACCTACTTACTAAGTCCCCCTGACCCTCCAAGTATTTCTGAATTTTTACGAGGTATTGGGCTCCTTGGGTTGTTTGCATTGCATTCCCCGCAGCGACATGCCGAGGTCTGGAGCGGAAGCAGCGAGTGGAAGTAGCGCGGTGAGGGGACCTTGTTAGGGTTTAGGGGTTTAGGGTTTATGGAGGGTTGAGGGGACCTTGTAAGTATACTTAGCTTTAGGGTTTAGGGTCAAAACCTCTACAAACCATATACCAATTCCAGCTATCCCCAGTATGGAGCTACTTGCTAAGTCCCCATGTCCCTCCACAGCAGTGCTTGAAAATTGTTCGTTCTCATGGACCATCATCCCTACATGTTCCCTACCACTTCTAAGAGAACGCAGAACCAAGGGCCAGGAGTCTAAATCAGGCCTCAGGGTTGAAGAGGCAATGGCAAATGTCTCACCATGCCAGTCAGAGCCGACGATTTTTCGGGAAAAGAAGGCCGGGTTCACCCTGCGAATTTCCGTAGATTAAGCATAATGTAGACCCCTAATTGCTGAACCCCCTCCCCTTAATGGGAATTACAATAGAGATCCTAATATCAATTAAGGCCCTTAAAGGAGGGGGTTTGGCTTTTGGGGGTCTATGTTCCTTTGTTTATGGAAATCAGCACCTCTTGCTCATGAAACCTAACTTAGGGTTAAGGGTTGTGGGCTTGCACCAGTGGCTGATTTGCAGTGTGCTGTCGTGGCAGTGATGACTAGCCGGTGACGAATCCATCGGCACCAGCAGCAATCCCAACTGATGGCTAGTGCTAGGCAGGGCTAGAAGTCAAACAACCTTACTTTCCGGGGACCCGGAGTCAGGCACTGTCCTTTCTGTTTCCCGGAATTAGTATATCCCCTTAATAAGGCCACTATAGCCCCAGTGTTGCCTTCTGTAAGTAGGTATCACGGGACACATGGGTCCGAAGATTTCAGGCCGCCCCCTGCAGTTTTTTGGCTCCGCATCCAACGATATCCAGCAGGAAGCCCCCAAAGGAGCGGCATTGGAGGAATGGCGCTCCTGCGATCTACGCTCTTGCTTAGTCTCTGCCACTTTGGGCTGGCAGGGCAGTTGAGTAAGTCGAACCTCACCTCCTCTTGCTCTTGCGAGAGCATTGAGGACTGGAACGATGATCGCTTTTCCCAGTGCAATTTCTGGGGTGACCCTCACATCGCCTCCAGCTACGGTGGCCTCGGGGCCTTTGACTTCCAGGGCGTCGGCCTCTTCAAGTGGGCGGCATCCAGCGCCTCTCGCCATTGCCAGTCCTGCTAACGAAGCAGCAGAACACCCCACAAACGGATTTTTCACCCGATGGAAGAATCTAAGGCTTGCCACTACAAGTTCCAGGTCAACGCGTTCACATGCCGGTTCACGCCGCGCCGCTTGGCTGTTTTGAGGCGTGGGCACTATGGCCTCACGTAATTTGATATTGCAATGTTGTGCGTGTCTGTGTCAGTTCTGGGCTGCGCTGGCGCCTGTTCAGCTTTGCTTTAGGCTTGTGGAGCAACAGCATCGTTCGGTACTTGGCCATCCAAATCGGGGATGACATCATCTACGTGAACGACACCAACGTGGGGGGCAGCGGCATCAACCTGGTGGAGCCATCGGACTTCAGCTTCCCCTCCAGTGGGATCACCATTCAGAGCCCGGACCGTTGCTTCCGACTGGCCGTGAATCAGAAGCCCCTGGACGGAGGCGCTCGCGCCATCCTCAGCTTTGAACATTATCGAAGTCCTCGTAGAACTTGTTCCGCACTCTCAGCATGCTCCGCGTGCTCTGCTTGAGGCTGGTACCACAACGTGAAACTTCGCGTGATCAGCGACGCAGTGGAGCAGGACGGCATCTGTGGCTCCACAGACTTGCTTGGTCAGCAACTTGATGCACTCCAGACCCAGCTACAGCTTCCTCCGGCCTCTGTGTCTCAGATGTTTTTCATTTGAAGCTCTAAGGCTTGTGGACGCTAGCGGCGGCGGCAATGCTGACACGATTTTCACGGATGAGCAGCTGGATGAGATGTGCAATGCGTGCAGGGAACCTGGTGCACCGCCCCCTCTCGGTTGTCCTGGTGGCCCCACCAACAGCCCCTTGGCAGCGTATAGGAGTAGTTGGTGCACGGCTCCGCACCTACACTTGAGAGCATGAACCATGCAAAATGCGCAAATACGACCTAGTTTAGGAGGCACAGGCAATTAAAGCGTGCGCACGGGGTTGCGCGAGCACGGTATGCTTCCGCAGGTCCTGGCTGCGATTTCCTTAGGGAATCCACCAACCTGAACAGTTTCGAGTGCACCCCGGACCTGCTTCCACAAACTGCGGATGGTCCAGACCCAAGCAACCTGACCCTCTACAATGAGCTCACGAACGATGGAGACTACTGCGTCGCATATGTGAAGGTGAAGGGCCCGGGCTCCAGTCCAAACTGCGACGTCTACTGCAAGGACATTGGCTCGACGTGTGTGGGCGTGTGGGACCAGCTTAGCGACACGACCTGCAACCTGGATCCTGTGAATGTGACAGAATTGAGGCGGGCCAGTTGCACAAACAGGGCGAAGCTCATGGACATGATCTGCATTTGCGACAAGCCTCCTGCGGACAACCCACTCCCTGGGCCGGGGCCGGAAAGGGTTTGCGGAGATGATCAAAGCCTTGTCGATGCCAAGGAGCTTTGCCGAATTTGCCTTCCCAATGCAGAGCTGCTGGACAACCCGGTCTCCGAGGAAGATGCGCGCTTTCGGTCCTGCATCATCGATGTTTGCTCACTTCCAGCCTCAGCATCCGAAGATGACAAGAAGGCCATGGTCGAAAACATGTGCGAGAACGATCCGGAGCTTCCACCCGACGGAGACCAGGTCTGCTCCGCAGGAGGGCCACTTGCCTGGCATATCCTCTGTTTTAGATTCAGGTATATGCAGAAATGAAAGAAGTGGAGGTTTGTTAGATGTGCTGGATTTGATCCTAGTAGCTTGCATTCCAGGTTCTGTGATGCCATTTGCGGTGGCAGTCTCCTGTTCCCGTCCCTGGACGCTGGGGCCTCAGCTGCCTCCGCCTCGTCGCAAAGCGCAGTGAAGCGGAGCTGAGGTCAGCGCCTGCAGGAGCGCCTGCGAGCCGATTTTCGAGTTGAAGGTGAGCCCCGGGCTGCGGGGCTTCTGTGATTACAAGGACACCTGCACGGGCGCTGACTGCAGCTCCTTGGCAGAAGGTTGCAAAGGAGAGAGTTAGCAAACGCAAATTTCCTGCTCTTGGAGAGTTGTCGCTGAGTCAAGGTGATCCAAGCTACTACTGCCCACTACTGTGCCAGAGCCTGGATTGTGCTCAGACTCAGGCTGGGCTTTAAGTTCCTTCCTCAGCCGGTTGCTATCTGCGCATTGTCTGTCAGCTTTCTACAGGATGGATGCACTGCTTGCGAGCAGACCTGCAGCGACCGCTTTGATGATGTGGACGACATCATCGAGGAGTATTGCGATGATTGCTACACTCCGCCCGAGCCCCCTACCGACGTTTGCGAGCGATCTGGGTGCCTCGCTTATCAATTCCAGGGCCTACCGCATTAGATTCAGCTTATGCCTTTATTGCACCTTGCATGTCTGTTGCTCTGCAAGGTTCTGCGCAGAGTACTGCAAGAGTGCCGACGCCCTGAAGCTCGATCCTGCTCAATGTGACGTCGTCTGCAACAGTGAGGATGGCTTCAGCAAAATCATCGGCGCAGTTGAGACAAAGGTCTGCGGGCAGTTTATCAATAATAGAGCACTTCAAATCTGCAAGTCTCGCGATGGGTTCTGCTGGATTCCGGGCAAGAGATCGAAATGCTTCAATTCTTGCGCAGCTTCCTTGGTGGACCCCAACGGTCTGGGTGGCCTTTTCGATCGGTACTGCGAAACCTGCCCCGCAACTCCCACAACCACACCCCCAACTGCAACCACCACAACCACCACTACGACCACCACAACAACCACAACCACAACCACGACCACCACAACCACCACTACGACCACCACAACCACCACAACGACCACAACCACCACTACCACCACGACCACCACAACAACCACCACGACTACCACCACCACCACCACCACCACCACCACCACCACCACTACAACAACAACCACCACAACAACCACAACCACCACCACAACCACCACAACCACCACAACCACAACAACAACCACCACCACCACTACCACCACCACCACCACAACAACAACAACAACGACCACCACCACCACCACAACCACAACGACCA